TTAGGAATTTTTTTTAAAAATCCTATTTGGAATATGGAAGCCTATCTGAGAAACAATGGGGGTCATCTATCAGAGGAGTTACTTTGGCCTTTTGGATGTCATACAAAATACATATACCTAGACATCTTTTAATTAGCTATACAGAATGTCATAACAGTTACAGTTTGTACATCCTGGAATGAGTTACTGAGGCATCGTATTTGAGTCCATCACATTCTGTTGCTTTCCTGGGGATTCCCGGAACATCCTGGTGTACAGCCAATCTGGTATATTCAGAGGAAGCAGATGGCTGGGAGGGGTGTGTGTGTGTGTGTGTGTGTGTTTGTGTGAATACTGCATGGTCATAGCTGACTAACCTATGGGCAAATATTCTGATTCTGAGAAGATTCTAGGGCCTCTAAAATACCAAGCAAAATGTCTCACAGAAAAATGGCCTAATATCTGAGGCAAAAAGAGGAGAAACAAGGCATGGCTTCCTCCCCTAGACAAGAATAAATCCCACACTTTTGCATGCAGCAGTTTCCAGGATGGAAAGCAGTGACACATAAGGCAGCACAAACGGAAGATGAATTTCTCCTCAGGGGAAGTTTCCCAGAAGGTGGCCTAAAATCAGTAAAATCCACGGAGACCTCCTAGGCCCTGTCAAGATGGCTTCCATCATCGCCACATCAAACCAGGTCTCAGGCACCAGATCTCATAAATTGCCCTCAATAGGAGAGGGTACCAACACAGACTGAGTCTGTGACCTGGTTTGGAACCTAAGTCAGACATGTATTGTCTGTGGACAGTCCTCACATTTTTCTATACTCAAGGCTTAAACACCACCCCTGAGCCTTGGCCAGAGAATGGCACTGACCTACTTTCCACACCCAGTGGGAATCAGGGGTTATCTTGCTCCTGTTTGTATTTTGTAGGGATGCAGGGCCATCGTTACAAATTAGAAATATTTCCAAAGCAACAGGCCAATTACTTTTACATGCTAGGAGAGCTGGTGCAGGAGGGGATGGACCACCACATCTTACTGGGGATGGATGGATGGTGAAAAGAGTTAAAGAAGAATCAGCTAAATAAAGGACCAAGAAGGCTGCCCCTCCCCACCCCAAACCTTGTGATTTGAAAAATTTTAAGGTCAAGTGTTCAGTAGCAAAGGATCAGGGTCTCTGGGGCCTAGCAGTAATTAGGCCTCTGCCTCTGGTCATCCCTAACACATGATTTTTTCCCCCTGTTGGCAATCTCCCCTCTCCTAAACCAGCTAAGGAATATGAGCCACAGAGCTAGGTGAGATTAAATGGAAAGGGGCTTATTAGACAGCCCGGAGCCGAGACCACCTGGAGAACGCATACACAATTCACTTTTATGCTCTCTCCATGGCTCTCTGAACATCACTGCTCTGAAAGCTGCTGCAAATCCACACTACACGGAACCTGGACACCTTTTAAGAGTGAGCTCTTGGAAAAGGACGGGGGGTGGGGGGGAGATTTCAGTTATTGGCTCCCAAATAACTATAAAGAGGTGAGAGGAAGGTACAGCCCCTCCCCACGCACACACACAATCTCACCCTGGACCCATGTTCTAGCATGTCCTAACTTGACCCCGATTCTGGAAGTTCTGAGCGCCTGTGATTGGGGGTAACATACATACAGCTTTAAGTCCCTTTAACTAGAGCTGGCCCTCAAAGTCAGTGTTACGTGCCTGTATGAGGCAGTTCTCAGGCCAGGAGGTGGTGGCAGACCCTCTGGGAAAATACCCCTCTCGAAAACTGGGAGGCGAGCAGAGCTCGACCTGTGATCTCACACCAGGGACTCCACCAGCACACCCCACACTCCACCCGCGGAAAATAATCCAGGAGGATGATGGGGGCAGGGTTGGGAGATAGGGAGGCCAGAGCTCAGCTACCCCGGGCCAGGAGAACAAAAGCAGAGTTACAGCCGCCTCCGCGGCTGCCGCGGGCCGAGCTCTTTGTGACACTTTGTTTGGGACACAGAGAAGCACCCCCATCCTCTCCCCTCCCCCCCAACCCGTGCACTGCCCGGTCTCCGAGAGTTAGGGCTCCTTCCTCCACCCCACCCCCCCGGCTGCACCTAGACTGGGGGCGCACCTCCACTACGCTCCCGGCCCTCCCACCGCGCACCCCCAGGCCCCTTGCGCCCCAGGCCGCGGCGCCCGGCCTCAGGGCCCCTACAAAGCCGCGCGCCCCCGCCCCGCGCCGCGGCCCTCCCCTCCGTGCGGGGCTCCCGGCTCCCCCACCTGGCCCCCTCCCCCCGGGCCCCCCCCAACTCTCACGCCCGCCCCGCCGCCCCCACCCCGCCCCCCGAAGCTGCGGGCGAAGTTTGCCGGGGCCGCGCGGCGCCCCTCCCCCGCCCCCGCCCCCTGCACCTGCTCCGCGCGCGCCCCCTCCGGGAGGGGCGGGGAGGGCGGCGGCGGGGGGGCGCGGGGGGAGCGGCTACTCACG